CACTCACTCGAGAGCTTCATGTTGGGCAAAGGCCCGGGATGAGTCCCCTGGGCCACCCTGGGTGGGCCCCTGGCTTTGCTACTCCACTGCTCCACCGTCAGGAGCCAGCTCCTCGGGGAGGTTGGGTTTGCTTAAAGGGGAGGCTGGTGCCAGCTGGAGAGCACTCGAGGGCCTGTCTCCTGCGGAAATGGGGGAGACCCGGGTAGGGAGGGGCTGTTGCCAGGACAGCTGGGCAGGACAGCTAGCTCCCCTCGGTGATGAAGAGAGCACTGTGCTAGGAGTCCTAGGGCCCTCCCCCACACCTAGCTGCCTGTGCCTCCCTCTGGGGAGCGGGAGGAGGGGGAGGATTTTGGAGGGGCCACTTGTAACACCGCTGTGCCTGCAGTTCCGGAGGTTGTGCGGGGCGTCAGCAGTGTGTGGGCCCCGGGGGGTGAGGGGGGGTCAGGAGGGCCTTGGAGGAGTTGTGGTTGTGCCAGGCATGAGGGCAGAGGCCAAGGGAGTCGGCCTGAGAGCAGGAGGGCAGGCAGCGGGGACAAGAGCAGAGCTGTGGCCATGCAAGAGGCCGGCCAGGGAGGGAGGGACTTGCCCATAAATGGGAGCTGGGCCTCCTGACCCAGAGCCCAGTCCTGCCGGGAGATCCCCTCTGGCCTTGGCTGGCAGTCAGGTCTGGGTGTGGGGTGAGTGGTAGTTGTCAGTCTTCCCTCCTGGACCCCCCCCCCCACCCCCCAGACGCCACCCCCTTCCTGCCCCCGGTCAGGGGCTGGGGCAGGCAGAACAGGGTGCTTCGGACCGGGCCTGCCCAGAAGCCACCTCCTTGCCTCCCAGGCCTCCCAGGCGCCAGCTCAGCATCTGTCCCGACGCTTCCGCAAGAGACGTGGCATGTGGTTCTGGATGGACATTTATTAGCGCACCCAGGGGTGCACACGGAACACGGATTCAAACAGGGGTCCCTGCCCAGGGGGCTCACAAGCTAAACGAGACACAACAGACACGTACACACAGGACACGAACACAGGGCGTGGGGCACCTTCCAGGCAGGCAGATGGTAAAGGAGGGCCGGGCACAGCGTGGTCAAGCATCGCCCTTCGGGGTGTCTCCGTGGGGAGCCGGGAGAGCGGAGGCGGCCCAGGATGGCGTGCCGAGCCCAGGAGGGACCCAGGAGAGAGC